TCTACTTTTTATTTGTTGTTCTTTTTTCTAATTTCTTGAGATAGATGCTTAATTGATTAGCTTTTCTTCTTTTATTTATTTATTTATTTAAATAAATATATTTTATTGATTTTGTACAGAGAGAAAGGGAAAGAGATACAGAGTTAGAAACATCAATGAGATAGAGTCATCGATCAGCTGCCTCTTGCACACCCCCTACTGGGGATATGCCCGCAACCAAGGTACATGCCCTTGACCGGAATCAAACCCGGGACCTTTCAGTCACCAAGCCGACGCTCTATCCATTGAGCCAAACCGGTTTCTGCTCCACAAGTTTTGATAAGCCCAATTTTTATTCTTTAAGTAAAAATATTAAATGGTGTAGCTCAGTGGTTGAGCATCGACCCGTGAACCAGGATGTCACCCATTCAGTTCCTAGTCAGAACATATGCCCCGGTTTTGGGCTGATCAATGTTGGTGTTTTTCTCTCTCATCCATGTTTTTATCTCTCCCTCTCCCTTCCTCCCTCTTTTCCTCCCTCTCTCTCTCTCAAAAAAAAAAAAAAAAAATCAGTAAAAACATATTAAAATATTTAAAATTTTCTCATTGTAGTATCTTTTTTTTTTTTTTGTCATAAAGTTTTTAGAAAGTATACTGCTTCCTGATGTTTGGAGGATAGTCTATCTTTGAGTTGATTTCTAACTTAATTTCATGAAGATACCTGTCTTAGTCTTTTCAGGCTACTATAGCAGCACCATATACTAGCTGTCTTATAAACAATAGAATTTATTTCTCATGGTCTGGAGGCTGGGAAGTCCAAGGTCATGGTGCCAGCAGATTTGATGTTGGTGAGAGCCTGCTTCCTGGTGTATAGATGGCCAGTGTCTCACTGTCCTCACATAGTGACAGGGGCAAAGGACTGTTCACTCATACCCAGTATATATTCCTTTTTATGAACTCTTCCTTGGGTACTTGAAAATAATGAGTATTGGTAGGAAAGCAGTGTTGTATGTATATCAGATCAGATTTGTTTGAAAGCAACAAACGAGATTTTTGAAACACATTTCTCTCAGAGAACTCTAGTATATGAAACAGAAGAGAGAATCCGATTGTTCAGGTCGAGTATTGGGTGGGACCCCAAATTTTGCCCACCTCTCTCCCAGAGTCTGCTAATCCCTGAGACAGGAGTGTATATTTCTTTTTTAAATGTTTTAATGGATTTTAGAGAGTGAGGGAGAGAAAAAAATATCAATGTGAGAGAGAAACATCGATCAGCTGCCTCCCGTATTCACCCTGACCAGGAACAAACCTGCAGCCAGGCATGTGCCCTGCCTGAGAATTGAACCTGTGACCTGATGCATGGGACAGCCCCAGTCACTTAGCCACACCAGCCAGTCCTGAACAAGGTCTTAAAAATCACAACTCAGCTGGATCAGTGTTGCTCAGTGGTTGAGCATGGACCCATGAACCAGGAGGTCAAAGTTCAGTTCTTGTCAGGGCACATTGATCTCCAGTGGGGAGGCATGCAGGAGGCAGCCGATCAATGTTCTCTCTCATCATTAATGTTTCTATCTTTCTGTCCCTCTCCCTTCCTCTCTCTGAAATCAATAAAAATATATTGGGGGTGGGGGGTCACAACTTAGTGAGAAGGAAGCCTACTTGCCTCAGATGTGTGAATTGTCACAGCAGAGCTTTAGGGGAAGCTGGTGGCAGTATCAGGTGTGCTGGGTGGACTGGAAAGGGAAGCAGTGGGAGCAGACTGGTTGGGAGGATGAGATCTGGAAAACTCTGATGCTGGGGAGACAAGAACGGGGGTAGAAACGCTCCCGAACATTGGGGAGTGCTGCTCCCGCCCCCCCAAGAGAAGTGTATGCTGCTAGGGGCCGGGTGGAGGGCCCCGGGGGTCACAGGCAGAGGCGGTGCAGTGCTCAACTGGAATTCCGTTTGCAGGGCTTTCCACAAGGCAGTCCAGCACGGGCTGAGCTTCAGTCAGTACAGAGTTTAGGGAGACCCCCCTCCTAATCAGGGTGTGGTGCTTAGTCAGGGCCTCCTCGCTGGGGGTAGGCTGTTACGATGGTCCCCCTGGTGTGCCTCACCGACTTGGCAGAACCTCGCTCAGGAGACCGTGCTTATTGCCTTGGTTTCTAGTTAATGCAACGGTTAAATATGTCCTTTCCAAGTAGCTCTGGCCCATTTGTATCTTCTCTTTTCTGCACAACTTGCCATCTTTTTTAAAGCAGCCCTTACCTTGTCTTCCTGTGTCAACACCTTTAATTGTCTACATGAGATAGAGCCTTCCACTCTTTAAAAAAAAAAAAAGGGGGGGGGTATTGATTTCAGAGAGAGGAAGGAAGAGAGGAATAGAAACATCAATGATGAGAGAGAATCATTGATCGGCTGCCTTTTGCATGACCCCTACTGGGGATCGAGCCTGCAACCCGGGCATATGCCCTGATTGGGAATCAAACAGTGACCTCCTGGTTCATAGGTTAATGGTCAACCACTGAGCCACACCGGCCAGGCAAGCCTTCCACTTTCAGTTGAACCCCTGAGATTCCGAGTTGGCAAATCAAACTGCTTCTCAATGGAAGTACAGATTGTGGGGTGTATCTTCACAGATGACATATTGAAAAGACACAGCCAAGGCTGCATGAGGTGTGCTGTCTATGGCACGTTGGGATCCAGGAGCGACCCAGAGAAGGCCTGTGGAGGGTCTTATTGGTCAGAGGTCCAGAGGCTGAGAGAAGCCAGAGTGAGATCTTCCCCAGCACTGTGACTGCAGGGGCTAAGGCCAGAGGCAAGGAAGAACTTGGCCCTGGCTCACACCGTGGAAGGGAGGCCATTGTTCCTGGGGCGAAGGGAGGAGTGCACCAGGTGAGGGCGGCCAGGCGGGCAGGGTGGGCAGGCAAAGCCTCTCCTGCCGAAGAGGGAGGGTTTTTCTAAATAGTGTCGCGGGCCAGGTGGAGGGATGGACAGGTTTTGTTGGGATATTTTTAGATCATGCTTATGCTGCTTAGAGAATGGGTTGGGGTGGGGGCAAAATGGACACAAGATGGGAAACATTGGTTAGAGTGGTCACTTATTTTTTTCATATTTTTTTAGCTAATCCTCACCAGAGGATTTTTTTCCATTGATTTTTTTTTTTTTTTTTTTTGAGAGAGAGAGAGAGAGAGAGAGAGAGAGAGAGAGAGAGAGAGAGAGAGAGGGGGGAAAGGAGGTGGAGTGGAGAGTGAAGAGAGAAAGAAGCATGGATGTGAGTCATACCTATTGGCTGCTTCCCATATGTGCCCCAATTGGGTCAGGGATTGAACCTGTAACCCAGATACATGTCCTTGTCAGAATCAAACCCAAAACCCTTCTGTTCTTGGGCTGACGCTCCAACCACTGAGCCAAACCAGCCATGGGACATTATTTTCTTTATCCTATTTAGATTTTTAGAGCCTTATTATTATAATTATCCTACTGAGTCAAGTTTTAGAATTGTTTTTACAATTCTTTTGAGTTTTATTTATTTTTTATTTATTTAAAATATATTTTATTGGTTTTTTTACAAAGAGGAAGGGAAAGGGATAGAGAGCTAGGAACATTGATGAGAGAGAAACATCGATCAGCTGCCTCTTGCACACTCCCTACTGGGGATGTGCCCACAACCAATGTACATGCCCTTGACTGGAATCAAACATGGGACCTTTTAGTTCACTGAGCCCAACCGATTTTAGTTTTAGAATAAATATATCTTAAGAATATATGAAGCCCAGTCCTGGCCAGTGTGGCTCAGTTGGTTGGAGAGTCCTCCTGTCTACTAAAAAGTTTCGAATTTCATCTCTAGTTGGGAAGTGTACGGGAGACAACTGAGCAATGTTTTCTTTCCCTCCCTGCTTCTCTCTAAAATCAATTAAAAAAAAAAAAAAAGAATATATGCAAATTGACCCTTGTACAAAATGGATTTGAACTGTGCAGACCCACATATATGCACTTTTTGTTTTTGGTACACACATACGGTACTGTAAATGTATTTTCTCTTCCTTATAATTTTCTTAACTTATTTTCTTTAAGTTACTTTATTGTAAGCATACAGTATATAACATAACATAAAAATATGTATTAATTGACTTTATTTGATCGGTAGGTCGTGATTAGATAAGTTTTTGGAGAGTCAAAAGTTATAAACAGGCATATTTTTTACTGCATGGGCAGGTCGGTGCCCCAAACCCCCTCCCCATTGTTCAGCTGTCAAGTGTAGGTAGTATAATGTGTTTTAAAGCAATATGAAATAATATAATCACACAAAATTTGATAGCACAGTTAGGTTCATTTGTTTTTGTTTATTCTTAATTTTTGGGTTTGCATTTTTCGTTTGGAATACAATTTTTTTCCAAATACATAAAACATTTATATGATCCAAAAATCAGAATCACAGAACTAGCATACTCAGAAGTCTTACCCCTTCCATCTCTGTCCACCCACCTCTCAGGTGGGATGACCACGTGCCCCAGTTTGCATGAATAGTCCTGGGTTTTGCTTCTTTTCAAGTCCTGTGTACAGCTTCTTTCAAGCATTTCAGTTCTGCGTCAGGGCTCAAACAAGCTCTTGGGGGCTAGCCTTGTAAAGTCGGGTTCTAATGACTGGTGTCATTTCTGTGGTAAAGTTGACTTTGATTTCAAAGAATTTATGCAAGAACTTGAATATACCACCTGTTTGCAAATTGTCTAGAATCATCTACATCAACCACTTTTCGTAATTTGAATGTCAGATTGATTATTAAGTGAACCTTTGTTCCTTCTTTGTTTCTCTTTAGAGAGAAAAACTTAAAATGCAGTGAAATGTGGTGTTGGCAGATAATTTTAATTACTTCAGAGGAGTTTCGCTCCATTGAATGCCTGCCAGGCAGTCTGAGGGAGGTGGTCTGTGGGCTGGGCTCGGGGTCTGACCTCTTTCCCTGGAGGGTCACCCCTTGTCCCAGGCCTGGGCTGCCTCTGCGTGAGCCCTGGGAGCTTGACAGCATCTGTCCTGTTTTCCAGGAGTTTGCAGCACTTACTAAAGAGCTCAATGTGTGCAGGGAGCAGCTGCTTGAGCGGGAAGAGGAGATTGCTGAACTGAAGGCAGAAAGAAACAACACCAGGGTGAGTCTGGTCTGCGTGCTCTCACACTGGCCTCTGCGTTGCTGTCCGGAGCAGTGCTGCTGGCTTTCTTCTCAAAGATGACCCGCTCCATCTGGCTTCAAGCAGTTTCAACATTCCCGTGACTCCACTGCATTTGATCAGTTCAGTGTTCTCAGTCCTGGCTTGAAATTGATGATGAGAAGAACTGGTATTTTAATACAGTTGAGACAGTTCTCTCTGACTTTAGACTAAATTGAAGGGAATCAGGCTCGTGTTAACATGAGAGTGAAGGGAGTTATTTGCTCCAGATTCAAATACGATACTAGAGTGTTCCTTAAATGTGTTTGATTTTGGCCTTTCTTGTAGCTGCTGCTAGAACATTTAGAGTGCCTTGTCTCCAGGCACGAGCGCTCTCTCCGGATGACCGTGGTGAAGAGGCAGGCGCAGTCCCCGGCAGGCGTGTCCAGCGAGGTGGAGGTCCTCAAAGCACTCAAGTCCTTGTTTGAGCACCACAAAGCCCTGGATGAAAAGGTACAGCAGCCCCGCAGCCATTCTCTGCGCGAACACGTGCCGCATTGCTCAATGGGGCATCATGTATGGGCACAGCTTCAACTCTTAAGACTTTCCTGTGAGAAGACAGTTCTTTATAGGTAAAAAGTATTAGTTGGCATAAATGTTTTAAATTTGTTGTTGTTTTGTTATATATTTTTATTGATTTCAGAAAGGAAGGCAAAGTTAGAGAAATATAGAAACATCAATGATGAGAGAGAAACATTGGTTGGCTGATCCTGCATAGCCCACACTGGGGATCGAGCCTGCAATGCTGGCATGTGCCCTGAATGGTAATCAAACCATGACCTCCTGATTCATAGGTCAACCCTCAACCACTGAGCCATGCCAGCCAGGCTTAAAATTTGTTCCATTCTGTATATTGACTTTTGTTATTAAGAATTGTACATTATAATTTAGCTATTAAGCTATTAACAAGCAGCTTTTCTTGACATTAACACCATGAAAGACGTTAAGGTATACTGTTGTGTTATGTTACGATGATGGCGAACTAGAGTTACAGTCATTAAGCGTTAAATAAATATGCACACACCTCAACCCTGTTTGCTTTCAGGTGAGGGAGCGCCTGCGAGTAGCACTTGAAAGGTGTAGTTTGCTGGAAGAAGAGCTGGGTGCCACCCACAAAGAGGTAAGCGTGCACATCACCTGGTTTGAATTGAGGATTTTACATTTTTATCTCAGTTTTAAAAAGTTATGAAGATGGTGGTGGATAGCAATTGCTGTTTGTCTTTCTGAGTGAGGACCAGCCCCTGGGGCCAGTGTAAAGACTGGTGAGCGGCATTTTCTTTCCGGAGTTGCAGGATCTCTCTAAGTGCCACCTGCCCAGTAGGGAGTGAGTTCTGGTTCTACTAATCCGGTCATAGGACGGCTACGTCCCCATGGATATATTCTTATACTATGTTTACAGTTGATAGTTGTGTTTTTCCAAAAGGAGTTTTGCTATCTTTACTTAGTTCTTTACTCTCATATTTAATTTTTTGGTTTTAGCTGATGATTCTTAAAGAACAGAATAATCAGAAAAAAACACTGACAGATGGGGTGCTTGACATAAATCATGAACAAGAAAACACACCCAGCACGAATGGAAAGGCAAGTCCTCGGCGCTCTCTCTCTTTCTCAGTCCTGGTTTCACCTGTCCAGTCTGCACAGGACTGTGGGGAACGCTGGACCACAGCCCAGTGCAGTCCAGCCTTACACTCGCGGAAGTTGTGGTCCAACTGACTGCAAACATTCATTGATTCTCCCTGTGTCCCAGAAGCACTTTGTTTCCTAGCTCCTCAGATGAGGCTGTTTAAGAGTTCTTTTCTCCCCATCAGAGGTCCTCCGATGGTTCTTTAAGCCACGAGGAAGACCTCGCTAAAGTGATGGAGCTGCAGGAAGTCATAGACAAGCAGGCCCGGGAGCAGAGCCAGATGAAGGAGCGCCTGGCCGCCCTCTCCACACATGTGGCGGAGCTGGAGGAGGACCTGGACACCGCTCGGAAGGATCTCATCAAGTCCGAGGAGGTGAACACGAAGCTGCAGCGAGATGTGCGGGAGGTAAGTGAGCCCACAGACGGCAGGGCCATCATCGGGCCAAATGCTGGGTGTTCTGAAAGTTTGACTGTTTTGCTCCTTTTGTCCCTTACTCCCAATTGCTTCCAACCTTCGCATCATTGTATTCATAACAGCAAAACAGAACAGTGCTGTGAGACCGTGATAGGTGACCTCCCCGTACTGGTGGTGCAGTCTCCTTTCCCCAAGGTCTGGGAAGGTGGAGACTGATCCAACTGCTCATTAGACCGGCGGCAGCGGCGGCAGAAGGGACAGGAGACCACCCTTCCGATCATGCTGCTGCATGACTGTAATGCCCTGGTTGTGAAGTCCTGATTTTTGCAAGGTCTGGGCGGTCTGAACCTAGTCTCCACCATGCTCAGATTTCCTTCTGACGCACACGTGATCAAGTGGGTGTTTGGTGTACTGCTGGTTCACTGACCTGATGTCTGTGTTGTCTGCTGACTGTTCAGAGCGTTGGCGATCACCTAGCCTTTATATGTCCTGCCTCCGAAGGAATCAATGATATTGATTGCCGGGTCAGACAGACAGTGAGTGTGCTCACAGGGGTCATCAGGATCATGCTGTCACATTGCGCAGAAATGCACTGCTGTCCGGCAGACGGTTCCTTCCGTATGCGTAAGCATTTATAAGAACTAATCACTATAAAGCCAGTGAGGGCTGCATACTTTCTCTGGCATCTTCCCCTCCCCCTTCACTTTATGCTGTTCTTTGTAAACAAGGCAGACACCCTACCTCTTCTCCCCGGATACTCCCAGAGACATCTCAGTCAGGACTCCCAGGAAGAGCCTTTCAGACCCTCACAGGAGTAGATACAGTGTAACCTGTTACATTGTTGCATTGATCTCTGGCAAAGGGCAGCATTTATGTGGTGGTGTAACATGCAGAGAATTTTAACATTCTTTTTTTTAAAGACTTGTCACTTTTAATATTAAGACTTTGCTAACATCAGTTACTTAGTCAATGGGGAAACACCTATAATGAATTTCTACATGGGGGCAGGAATTGCATGAGCAGAAAGTTCGGCCCTAGAGTCAGTGTTTAATACTATGTAAGAGAATTTTTTTCACAGAATTAGGCTTTTGAAGGCTGTATCCAGTTAACTTAAACTTTGGCTTCTATTTCCATTCATTCATTTGATCTCCTTACATTTGTTTTTTCAAATATATGTTTTGACTTCAGAGAAGAAGGGAGAGCAAGAGAATAGAAACATCAATGATGAGAGTCATTGATTGGCTGCCTCCTACATGACCCCTACTGGAGAACTGTGACCTCCTGTTTCCTGGGTGGATGCTCAACCACTGAACCACACCAGCCAGGCTGATTTCCTTAATTTTGTGGTAATTGGATGTGATTTTATCCAACTTGTACCTAAGAAAATGATACTAGTGTCTGACTGTCTTATCCATGAGGAACCACATCTTGTCCTGGTGGATGAATCCCCTTGTACCGTGAGAAATTTGTGTAATATTTCAATATTTTGTACATTTTTTTGGAAATATTCTGTAGAAAATGATAAGCTTGGTTAACTGAGTGGCCAGACAGGGAGTGCTGGCTAATGGTATAGGTGCGTGTTTATGATATTTGAGGTAGGCACATTTTCACTCACATTGCTGAAAATTGACATCTCTATCCATTTAATTTTGGAGACACTGATTTTATGTCTGATTTGAAAGTTAGGGTTTAGTCCAGTTTTTTCTCTTAAGCATGTTGATGTGTTCTCTGAATGCTGTAGGCCATGGCGCAGAAGGAAGACATGGAGGAGCGGATCAACACCCTGGAGGAGCGCTACCTCGCAGCCCAGCGCGAGGCCACCTCCGTGCACGACCTCAACGACAAGCTGGAAAACGAAATTGCCAACAAGGACTCTATGCATCGGCAGGTAGTGTGCTTATGGACCTGGGTCTCGCTTTACCAGTTAATTACTAAGGAAGTTAAAGCCCTTTTCCCTGTGACTTCATGTTGGCGTCAAGTCCAAAGTAAAGTTTTTATGATCTCTGACTAGTATGTTTGGAAAGTATGGGTTATTTTAATTTACAGTTTTAATTATGTAGGATTTGGTTTTACCATTTTATAGAAGTTACACTCCTTGATTCTTCTGTTTTGTTTTACTTGAACGATAATCTGTTGTTTGGCAACCTGTTTACCTAAGAAACAGAATAGCAAAGACTTTCCCATTTCAAGGCAGTGGCTGCTTGTGAGTAACTGGGGTCAGGGTAGTAAGGGGTAGGGTTAGCAAGGCAGCCTGCACGGAGCGTTCACCTCTTGTGGTTCCACAGCCACTCTGTTCTTGTTCCTCTGGAGTCTCAGGTAGTCAGAGTTAACCCCAAAACTGAAACTGCTTCTGAAAATAAAGTGAGTTTGTCTAGTGTATTATAAAATGTATCCTTAGCATCCAAGTTAAAATAATAAAACACTGGGAAGCTATTGTAAATTAGAATGTGGAATACAGTTTAAGAGCAGGTAAGATGTTCACAATAATCAGTTTAAAAGACAGGTCACAAAATTTCTGAGGGTTTGAAAGCATAATATATTGTGTGTAACAAGTTTAAAATTGTGGTACTCAATACAGAGTTTATTCTTGGTTGTTATGTATTGATTATTGTATTATTAGATGCATTATAACTGTAAACCTACTTTTGCCTACCCCTATTATATGCAGGCAGAGAAAGGGAAGCAAGCTGAATATAAACAAATGCTAACGTCTCAGGAACCTGAACTTACAGATGAGTTCTGAGCTTTCTTTTTTTTTTTTAAATTCTTTTGCCTGCATTTTCTACATTGAAATTTTTGTAGAGTATGAGGATTTTTTAAAAAAGAGTAATCATACATTTACAAAAATAACTTAAGCCCAGCTAGTGTGGCTCAATGATTTTGAGCATCAGCCTATGAACTAGGATGTCATAGTCTGATTCCCAGTCAGGGTACATCCCCAGGTTGCAGGCTCAATCCCAGTGTGGGGTGAACAGGAGGCAGCTGCTCAACGATTCTCTCTCATCATTGATGTTTCTATCTCCTCCCTTCCTCTCTGAAATCAATAAAAATATATGTATTTTTTAAAACAAACACACAAACCAGAATGGCTGGAAGAGCTGTTCCCACTCGTTTCTCTGCTCTCTCTCCACAGACTGAGGATAAGAACCGCCAGTTGCAGGAGCGCTTGGAGCTGGCGGAGCAGAAGCTGCAGCAGACCCTGCGGAAGGCGGAGACACTCCCTGAGGTGGAGGCTGAGCTGGCCCAGCGCGTGGCCGCACTCTCCAAGGTGCTTCTCCCGCTTCCTTCTCTTAGCACGGGGCTTGGATTGGGAGGGTGGCTTGTTCATGGACCTTGGTCATTGGTCTTACATTGGTAGTCCAAATCCCTGAAATAGCCAGACTGGTTTTTACTGCTATTTTGTTTGAGATTGGAACACTTCTTAAATGTCAGACATACCCCCATCTGTTTGTTATCCTGGTGTTGATTTCCCTCCAGTTTGTCAGACGTGTACTGTTTGTCCCCAGTGTGGGTGCTCTAAGTAAGAGTCACTGCTTCTTGAGTTAATTTAGCAGCTCAAGGGCCTAGATGGGAGCTTTCTGGACAGGAAGGGAAGGGCTTCTCAGGAGAAGGGGAGGACCACTCTCTTCTAAAGACAGTCAAAGTGAATTTATAATAAGTTTTTAAATAATTTATTCATTTGCTCAACAAATATTGGCTACGTATGTGCAAGATACAGTGCCTGTTCTCAGAGTCATCCTCACCCCGGGGAAGCAGGCAGATGACAAGACAATGTCAGAAGGCTGTCCTGGTGCTCGGGCTGGGCGGGTCCACAGGAGGAGCACGGTCATAAGCACAGACACGCCGCCCTCCTGGGCCTACGAGAGCCTCAGGTCTGCGATCCAGCGGCCCAGGCGCCTGTGGGGAGCACTTGCTGATGGTTTGTCTCACTGGCTCGAGCTCAGGAGCTGGCAGTGGGGCAGGACAGACAGGATGTTGCGTGGCCAGCCTCAGATCAGTCAGATGACACAAGTGCTCACAGACCCGGGAGCGAGTTCTTGCTGACAGCTGGGACAGAAGCTCTTCCTTTCCACCATGATCTGCGTTTAAAGTCTCGGTTTCTCTCCTCCTCTGTCATCTCTCCTGTCCTTGTCATCTCTCCTGTCCCCGGTTGGCCCCGTAGTCTGACCTTTTGTCTCCTGGAAGCTCTGCTGCTAAGGAAGCTAAACTGTGCGAACTCACTTCCCAGCTTAGGAAGGTAGTCGTGCCGCGTTGGGTTGTGCTCGCTGCTCTGCTCCATGGCACTCAGCACGCAAGCTCAGGACGGGGGACGCGAAGAAGCCCGAGCCTGGGCGTGGGGCGGGAGGCACAGTTTCCTCACAGCTCACTACACCCAGCTGCACCCAGAGCCACCCTCTGAGGGTCAGCTGCCTCCCACTGACACATGCCGCCACCAGAACGTGTTGGTAGATGTGAGGAAGCCCTTCCATCCATCGTGGTGGAAGGCCGCACGGAGCATGCTGTGCTTTCTGCTACCGCTTTAGTTAGTTTGCAGCATGCAGTCCCCCCAGTCGCGTCACTGTTAGTTGAACTTACACACTGTTCTTGTTGACAGGCTGAGGAGAGACACGGCAACATTGAGGAGCAGCTGTGCCAGATGGAGGCGCAGCTGGAGGAGAAGAACCAGGAGCTGCAGCGGGTACGTGGCCAAGCATACATCTGCTCCAGCATCACGTGGGGCCTGGGGGCGCGCCGCGTGGCGGGAGACTCAGTTCTCCTCCTTCCCTGACTCTGTTCCCTTCTCCACTCCTGCCGCGTGCATCACGGCTGCATCTGCGCCTTGTCTGTGGTAGGGGCTCTTGCCGCACAGGCAGCATTATGTCCCATTGGGAGCAGGAGAGAAATTGGTGCCTGTGGGCAGTCCTGCAGGGGGCAGATGGATGCCCATGTCCAAGGAGGCTGCCTGCAGCCCTGACGAGCCTGTCGGGAATTGCTCCAGGGACTTCAACTGTGACCTCCTGGTTCATAGGTCGACTCTCAACCATTGAACCACACTGCTTGGGCCACTCTATTATTTTCAGTACTGGCTTACAGAGTTGAAGGACAGGTGGTGTGAGATGGGGTTTCTGTTTATAATGAAGGCAACTCAAAGGAAACTTAAGTTTTGCTCTCAAAATATTCGTATGTGAACACCTTTAGGTTTGGGGTCTCCTCGAGGGGGTGGCTGCAGTGCGTTAGGCATGGTCTTCTCTTACAAAGCCATAGAGAAAGGAGAGGTACTGGCACCCACATCTTACAGATGAGGAAACTGAAGCACAGTCCGCAGCAAGTTCTTGTGGGAGTTCACCACTCCTATGCCTCTCAGCCCCTGGCCACGCTGCCCTGCCCCTGGGGAAGCCCCTGGCCACACTCCAGTGGCCCACCCTAACTTGACTGCCTGTTGGCACTTCCTGTCCCTGCACTTAGGATATGGGGCAAAAACAAGCTTTTTAAACCAGGAAATGGGTGATGGTTTTTATTTATAGATTTATCACTTTGTTAATGCATTTTAGAATTATTTGAGGTATTTGTAAATTTTTTAAATAAAAGTCTTTATTATAAAATATTCAAGAGATGTAGGAATATAAAGAAAAACAAGTGAAAGTGTATTACCACTGACTTTTTTCCAAAATGAATTTTTTTACCTTTTGCTTTGTGGATTAAATTCTTTCCTCCTTGAATCCAGACTCAGACTTCTCTTGACATGCAGGGAAGATGCTCCACCAGCGTGTGCATATCTGATCCCCAAAACCCTAGTTGCTCCAGAGTCAGCCTGCCAGTTGATTGGAGGAACTATTGAGGCCCACAAGTGCTTCGTTCAGCAGAAGCAATAGGACCTTCTCATTGGTGATCTCTCACAGACTCGACTCTGCACCTCCGAATAGGTCCTAGTGCTCCTGTCGTCACTACAGGCGACTGGGAGGGTCAGCCTAAGGGCTGGCGGCACCCATCACCACACCGTCGGCCCTTGGCACTTTTAAAATAATGGTCCTGCCTTTGCTGGAAGTTGCTAAGTTTTTGTTTTAATATATTTTTATTCATTTCAGAGAAGAAGGGGGAGAGAGAAACATCAATGATGAGGATAATTAGTCGGCTGCCTCCTGCATGCCCTCTACTGAGGATCGAGCCCGCAACCTGGGCATGTACCCCGATCAGAATGGAACCCAGGACCCCTCAGTCCACAGGCCGACGTCCTATCCACTGAGCCAAACCAGCCAGGGTGCTAAGTTTTTGTTTCTCCTGTTTTAGGCACGGCAGAGAGAAAAGATGAATGAAGAACATAATAAACGTTTATCAGAAACTGTTGACAGGCTGCTTTCAGAATCGAATGAGAGACTTCAGCTTCACCTTAAGGAGAGGATGGCTGCTTTGGAAGAGAAGGTTGGTCGCCCCGAGGGCATTCCTGCCCCACAATGCATAACGGTCAATGCCAGTGCAGAAAGCAGACTATCTTCCAGCGGAAGAGGCCCTCACGGGCCATGTCCTTGTGCAGTTTGCGTACACGGAAAATTGTTTGTCGTTCTTATTCTCTAGAGCAGGAGTCAATAAACCGTTTCTTTCAAGGAGCAGATAGTAAATACTTTACGTTTTTGCTAATAATTTCAAACAGAGTAAAATAATTCCATCCTAATCAATGAATATGCAAGCAGCCAAAGAGGCAGTTATAAATCAGTTGGTGTGGCTGTGTTCTAATAAAAATTGATTGACAGGAATAGGCTGTGGGCTGGATTTCACTGACAGGCCCTAGGTTACCAACCTCTCCACTTGAATCTTTTGGGAGGCCTGACCCTCACCCCTTTGTTGCTCTTGCATTGGAAGTTGATTTCTGTCTCAGAGTCCCATTCTACCACCTGCCTTCTCTCTTTCCATTTGGTTTGGAAAGTGTCTGGGCTCTCGTTGCTGTGGCCATGGAATTCTTAGCTGTGACTGAGAGGAGGCGCTCCTAGGGTCTGTCAGAGCACCAGTGGTAGCCAGTGGGGTCCAGGTCAATGAAATTATTCTGATGGCACCAGTGTACCAGGAGATGAGCCCCAGAAACTTCGTTGGGATTGGCACTTGGTCGTGCTCATGTGAGAGAGACCAGTGATTTCTAACTGATGGTGCGACCCAATCATTTTACACAAAACCCATCATGAATGCATTGTACATGCTGCATCGGGTGGTTGGTTATATACATCTTTGATCAGTGGGCCAGCCCAAAATTAATGTTTTTAATTTTTATTACTTTCAGAGAAGAACAGAAGGGAGAGGGGGAGAGAAAGAGAAACATCATTGATGAGAGAGAATCATTGATTGGCTGCTTCCTACACACTCCAGTTGGTGATAGAGACCACAACCCAGGCATATGCCCTGACTGGGAATCAAACAATGACCTCTTGGTTCATAGGTGAATGCTCAACCACTAAGCTACACTGTCTGGACAGGCAGGAATGTTTTTATCTGGGAGCTGAACCCTGCATTTGAACCCATGTCAGCTTTCCCTAATGGCCTAACGGCCACTGCAGACCAGGGTAACAATTAAAATGAAAGTGCCACTCCAACATTGGCAAGGCAGTCGGAAAAGTAAGTTACCAGGGGCTGTTCGCAGTTCCTTGGCCCTCACTCGGAGTGTGGTGCTGCTCAGTAGTACATTCATATGCCTCATACCTTTGCTGAGGAACTTCGTTATTTTAAACAGAAACGTAGCCATCCGATACCACGTGGAGCATTGTCCCGAATCAACACTAAAGCACTGTATCTTTTTCAGAATTCTCTCGTACGTGAAGTTGAAGATGCAAAAAAGCAATTAGAAGAAACTCAACATGATAAGGTACTTAAGTCTGTAACCCATTTAGACCCCACTTGAGAACAGAATGGAGCTGCATCAGTGCTGATGTGACCGCCGCGGCGGGGCTGCTGAGGGCGGCTTCTCTGTGCAGCCCACTGCCTTGTGGTTCTGAGTTGGTTGATGCACGTGGCCCAGAACTATCTCCTTCTGGCTTCATGGGAAAGCTACGACAGAACCACAAACCTTCCATGTAGCACAGGCCCAGCCAGTAGGAAGACACTGAGCCACGCGTGATCCTAGCAGCCCACATGTAAACAGTACAAGGACAGGTGAAATTAAGTTTGTTAATCCAGAATTGAAATGTTACTTTGTCATTAATTAATATAAAAACTGATGAGCTACATCCCATGCTTTTTATCATATGAAGCTTGAAATCCAGTGTGTTTTACAGTCACCTTTGAGTGCTCCATGGCCACATGTGGCCACGATAGGAGCTCCTTGGGATAGCGCTGAGACACAGCTTGGGGCTGCCTGGAACAGCTTTATGTCAGCCTGACTTAATGTTTTGCAGTGAATAGAAAGGAGGTTGAGCATACAAATGGTAGGTGAGCGCAGATGTGCAGTTACTCGTTGGGGGTTCTGAAGTTACGGGGGGGTCTGTTTACATGAGGACTTTTGGAGAAAGTGTTCTGCGAATTCAAGTGCTTGGTACTTGTCACTGTTCAGCTAACCTATCGTGGAAAGAATTAGCATCCTGAGATCTTCACTGGGTGTCACTTGCTGTTTTGCAGAATCAACTGGTACTGAATATCGAAGCTTTGAGGGCTGAACTGAGCCAGATGCGGCTCAGAGGTGCTTCCCTTCATCACAGGTATGAACCCCAATTAAAATCCGCCTTCACCCCATCATGTGTGCACAGGCGCATGCCCAGAGGTGAGGCGGGGCTCAGCACCTGGGGGAGGTTTGGGAGGCAGGGTGATTAGTCCATGTCTGGGTGTGTTCGCTGGAAGGCCCAGCAGAATGAGGCCCTGATGGTATAGGGATAGGCAGGCAAAGCCAAGGGCTCAGCTGAGCATCGGACCCCAGGAGTGACAGTCACGGGCACAGGGATGGAGAGGCTGTGTGGGGGGATAGTGGCAGGAGAGGCTTTGAGAAGGCAGACCCGCAGATTTCACGGCGGAGCTGGAGGTCAGAAAAGACCCCGCGCAGAGCGCCTGGGACAGGCGTTGGCTGAGAGGCATGAGCTCAACTTCTGGGCGTGACTTTGCAGTGGGGTCAGTCATCTTGTGTTGTGACCCTCTGGAGCGAGAGGAGAGAGCCCAGGGCGGAGTGGGAAAGGCGCCAGAGGACGGGCTTCCACTAATAGACTGGGCCTGTGGACAGGAGCCTCGCTCCTGAGGGGACTAGCTGCAGGTGGTTGCAGCGGGGAGGTGAGTAGGCACTGTGGACTCTGGAGAGACGGAGAATCATCCAGAATGATGTGTAGGGCTTCGCGTGGCTTTCTGCTGGTGTGAAACAAGGCCCAGCCCCCCCCCCCCCCCCCCCCCCGCAGCTGGAACCCTGGAGGAGGAAGGAGCAGTTTATGGGGAACGAGGGAAAGAGGAAATTCCCGACATGGACATCTTCTAGGCAAGCAATAAGTCTGAGCAGCGTTCCAAAGACAGTTCTCATAAGAATGTAGAGTGTGGGAACCAGAAGGGGATGAGCTGTCATGTCCCAACGGTCCTGCTGGTCGTGTGTCCAGGCACCAGGGGGCCCGTTAACTCACTTTGACCAGGTGGGTGGGTTTCTCTCCCCAGACCTTAAGGGTGGGTTTCTCTCCCCAGACTTTTGGAAATGAAGGCAGTGCCCTTGTTTCCCAGATTAGGGGGGCAGGACTGAGTGCGGTGCCCTGCCCAGTGAAGGCGGGACTCTGGGCAGTGTGCCTTCCCCCGCTGACCAGGTTCTCGGCAGGCCGCTAGCGGCTCCTTCAGCATCTCCGTCCAGGCGTCCAGGCCTGGCTACTATTGGGGAGATTTCTCCAGCCAACAGCGTTGAGTGTCTGCTAATCTGATTGCACACTGGTCTGTGCTTTGGACTCGGAAACATGAAAGCAGGCTGCCAAGTCCAGTTTCTCAGTGCCAGCTGGGGCTCAAGGGCTCCTCAGCAGGTCCTCCAGGGTGCACTTGAGGCAGCCTCCCAGGTGGGGTCTGGGGCCGGGCAGCCTCACACGGTGGTGGTTGGCAGATGGGAAAGTAAGCAGTTGGAGGCCAGGAGTGACATGCGGTGTGCCTCCTGGTCAGTCGGGGAGAAAGAGGAAGTGACACAGCCTGACCATGGGACAGTTCTGAGGGTCACATTGGCAGCGTCACATTGGTTTCCCCGGGCATCGAGGTTTCCCTCCTGGAGGGGCTGGAAGAGGAAAGATTGGCGGAGAGTGGGCATTGGAGCAAGCAGAGACCCCAACATCCCCTCGGTGGGACCTTGCCGTGAACTTATTTCCCAGATTGGCAGGTCTGGCCTGACCAACAAAGTTCACTTTCTTGAAATAACACTTTTTCCCCCGTGTTTCAGCCGACCCCACTTGGGCAGCGTCCCAGACTTCAGGTTCTCCGTGGCGGACAGCTCCACGGACTCGTACGGCAGCGGCGCGGTGCTGCGGCGCCCCCAGAAAGGCCGCGTGGCAGCGCTGCGGGACGAGCCTTCCAAGGCAAGGGCCCCTCCTCCCCCTGTCACCTGCTGCACAAGGGCCCCTCCTCCCCCTGTCACCTGCTGCACAAGGGCTCCCTCTCCCTGTCACCTGCTGCACAAGGGCCCCTCCTCCCCCTGTCACCTGCTGCACAAGGGCCCCTCCTCCCCCTGTCACCTGCTGCACAAGGGCCCCTCCTCCCCCTGTCACCTGCTGCACAAGGGCTCCCTCTCCCTGTCACCTGCTGCACAAGGGCCCCTCCTCCCCCTGTCACCTGCTGCACAAGGGCCCCTCCTCCCCCTGTCACCTGCTGCACAAGGGCCCCTCCTCCCCCTGTCACCTGCTGCACAAGGGCCCCTCCTCCCCCTGTCACCTGCTGCACAAGGGCTCCCTCTCCCTGTCACCTGCTGCACAAGGGCCCCTCCTCTCCCTGTCACCTGCTGCACAAGGGCCCCTCCTCCCCCTGTCACCTGCTGCACAAGGGCCCCTCCTCTCCCTGTCACCTGCTGCACAAGGGCCCCTCCTCCCCCTGTCACCTGCTGCACAAGGGCCCCTCCTCCCCCTGTCACCTGCTGCACAAGGACCCCTCCTCCCCCTGTCACCTGCTGCATAAGGGCCCTTCCTCTCCCTGTCACCTGCTGCACAAGGGCCCCTCCTCTCCCTGTCACCTGCTGCACAATGGCCCCTCCTCTCCCTGTCACCTGCTGCACAAGGGCTCCCTCCTCTCCCTGTCACCTGCTGCACAAGGGCCCCTCCTCCCCCTGTCACCTGCTGCACAAGGGCCCCTCCTCTCCCTGTCACCTGCTGCACAAGGGCCCCTCCTCCCCCTGTCACCTGCTGCACAAGGGCCCCTCCTCCCCCTGTCACCTGCTGCACAAGTCCCCTTCCCTCATGGGTTTGAGACGGTTTTGGAATTACAGTGTCAATTCAATAGGTCACGTTCTCTTCTTCCCTCCCCCCTCGTCCCTTTTTCTAGCTAAAAGTTTACTTTTAAGGTGTGCTATTTTTTTTTTAGAGAATGGAAATTCTAATAAAATATGACCTCTTAATCTAACACAATGCCAATCAGTAGTCTAGAAGTAGTGGTGAAGAGTAAGGGGCTGTCAGTAGTTAAGTTTTGGGGGAATCAAAAATTATACGTGGATTTTTAAAAAATATATTTTATTGATTTTTTTACAGAGAGGAGAGGAGAGGGATAGAGAGCTAGAAACATCGATGAGAGAGAAACATCAACCAGCTGCCTCCTGCACACCCCCTATCGGGGATGTGCCCGCAACCAATGTACATGCCCTTTACCGGAATCAAACCCGGGACCCTTCAGTCCTCAAGCTGACGCTCTATCCACTGAGCCAAACCGGTTTCGGCTATATGTGGTTTTTTTATGTGCAGGTGGTTGGCCCCCCTAACCCTGTATTGTTCAAGGGTCAACAGTATTTATCTTTTATTTATTCTTAAGAGTATATGTGTGTGTGTATACATATATACACACATATACATACATGTATACATATATATGCACATTTAGCATATTTTTGTTTATTTCAGAGAGGAAGGGAGGAGAGAGACAGAAACATCAATGATGAGAATCATTGATTGGCTGCCTCCTGCACACCCTCTACTGGGGACTGAGCCCACAACCCGGGCATGTGCCCTGACTGGGAATCAAACCCTGACTTCCTGGTTCATAGGTTGATGCTCAACCACTGAGCCACACCAGCCAGGCTAAACATTTTATTTTAACTTAAATGAGCATTCACTAGCTAATTAAATTAACATTCACTGGCTAATCTTCCCCCCTCCTCCCCCCCCCCCCCCCCACACACACACTGGCTAATCTTGATGAACACCAGCAACTTGTAGCACGGCCCATTTTTCAAGAATCTTTTGGGCTTGATTTAAAATTTTTTGAAAACTTTGGACTTCTTTAAAGTTGCTCTGACTGTGGTTATACTCTTGCGTATTTGCTGAGATGGGGTCTCTGTTCACAGGTACAGACTCTGAACGAGCAGGATTGGGAGCGTGCGCAGCAAGCCAGCGTCCTGGCCAACGTGGCCCAGGCGTTCGAGAGCGATGTCGATCTGTCAGACGGCGAGGACGAAGGGGACACACTCTTCAGCTCGTCCGCGCTGCTGTCGCCTAGCGGGCAGGCCGACGCTCAGACGCTGGCCATGATGCTGCAGGAGCAGCTGGACGCCATCAACAAGGAGATCAGGTACATGGGGTTGTACATGGGGTTATGCCTGCACACAGTGTCCCCGGGAAACTGTACCCCACTTAGAGTAGACTGGAGCAGGTGCGGCGAGCATTGTCTACTAGTAAATGGTCTAGAATAATAATACTTCAATTCTGTTTGAAGAGTTTATAAGTTTTGAGATTGCCCTTTGTTATGGAATTCAGTCAGCCAGGGCCTTCTCTCCACAACTGTGGTGTCGGCACATTTGTGTAAGGTGCCGTGGCAGGTGAGAGGTGTTCAGTTCCATCCCCCAAAGCTGAGGACCCAGCTAGAGAGCCCTGGGGCTTTGCCCACCTGGGAGGTTGTCGGCTGGGTCTACCTGACGTGTGTGCGACCTCTAGCCCTGCAGAGCGCTGGTGTGTGTCACAGCCACTCGGAACAGGAAAGCTGAGGTATGGAGGATGGCAATCCCCTTGGTGTTTGCACTTGGCCGTATTAAATTAACACAGCACAGAGACTGGTGCATGGTGGGACAGTGCTGGTCACAGGGGTGTGCATTCTTTTAGTCTCATCACAGAAACCTCCCAGCCGTTATAGTAGCAAATACACAGAAGAGTGGGCCACCTGAGGGGCAGAATTCAAAGAATTGCCTGGGCTTAGGAGGCCTTGGTGCTGGGCGCAGCCATGACCAGGGTGCTCTGAGGCCCGCCCTGTGTCAGACCTGATGCAGCCACACACCTGGTTGGTCCCGAGGCCACGTGAAGAGCGCCCGTGCGGAGCCTGCCATAGATTCAGGTGGCACAGTCACCAGGTCTTGTTCTTGTACAGCTAACGTGGCAGAAATGCCCTTCACTGCATGCGGGTTTTATGCAGTGGCATGGGTGCCACTATTGACGGCACATGGCCTGTCTGTGTCCAGGTTGATTCAGGAGGAAAAGGAGAGCACAGAGCAGCGGGCCGAGGAGATCGAAAGCCGAGTTGGCAGTGGGAGCCTGGACAACCTCGGTCGTTTCAGATCCATGAGCTCCATTCCGTATCCTGCGTCCTCACTCGCAGGCTCCTCCCCTCCAAACAGCGGTCGGTCCACCCCTCGACGCATCCCGCACAGCCCCGCTCGGGAAGTGGACAGACTAGGCATCATGACTCTGGTAAGTGTGTGCCTGTTCCCTGCTGCACTCCCCACCCAGCGAGTTCCGTCTCGGACACTGCACAGATGCTTTTTGTTTGACCCAGAAGGAAATCAGGTATTTTGCTTCACATATGTTATGCTTGGAAGTCCAAGGTTTTGAAAACCAGCTGGTATGTCATCAGTCATTCAGCAGCAGCACGGTGACAACTGAATTTTACTTCTCGGAGGACCAGTTTAGCATGTCATCATGAACTCGGAAGTTTTTATTGAGTAACTTTGGGCAAGGCAGCTTCAAGGGGACTATGTCCGTTTTTTGGGAATGGACAGTTTAACCGAGTAAGTATAGGCAGCCTCGTAGCTCATAGAGAAGTGTGCCCAGGCCGAGGCCATCTTCCTTCACATTAGGGTTGCCTAACAGGAGGATACAGGGCCTGCCGTCAGAAAACAGCACTAAGCAAAGCAGAATGTCCTGTTTGTCATGCGCCCGGTGGCCTGCCCAGCACCAGTGTTGCCTGGGAGACCAGCATCCATCCATGAAGAGCCTAGTGGCTTCCAAGGAAGCATCTGGAAATGCAGTGACCTTATGGCTCCTGGTGACAAAGCGATACCCTTGTTCACGCATCTGGTTTAGGTTTGCATGAGCACTGCCTCACATTGCACACTGACTGACAGCGTTCAGTGCAGCCACACCATCGACCTGCCTGTCCCATCCTCGCTCACTCTCAGCCTCACTGCCCTGCTTCATGTGCAGCCGCACCGCCCAGCCTTCCTGTCACCCACAGTCACCCTCAGCCACACTGGCCGCCAGCAGACAGCCACAGCAGCTCTGCATCATTCCGTGTGACATAATTTAAAGATCATGAATTAAAGAATGTGAAGATTCCACCTGCTCTTCTAGCTTTTATTCTTACAGATTTTCAGGGGGTTCCCTGCTGTAGTCAAAAAATTTATTTTTGAGCACTTTAAATTAAATTGTAGGCAAGGATTTTACATTAACATCCAACAAGTGATTAACTCAAAGTAGGTTTGTTCAGTTTTATAACAGGTGTTAGACTGATAGTTTGAAGTGTAACTTGTTTTTTATTAAGAAAAACGAAGGAATAGAGAAGTTTGGCTTAGAATAGACATCTATTAGGGCTCTTTGTTACATAGATTGCATTTTAATTAATCTTGTATGTTGTAATAGAATTTTATTTCCCTGAGTAATAGTCTGATATTTCTCTAATAAATTTCGAATAACTTATATTTAAATTTTTTTATGAAAAATTGTTCTATTTCCAGTTATATATTTTTTCTAAATCTTAGCTCACTTGTATTTGTCCTGTCATTCTTCTTAAAATATATTTGCCTGTATATACTATGATTGGATTTTTAACATCAAAGTGTGCAGTAAACCTGGTTTTTCTTCCTTTCTTTGCATGCATCTGTCAGCCTAGTGATTTAAGGAAACATCGTAGAAAGGTAAATTTTCGTGATGTAATGTGCCTTGTTTCCCTGTGAAGAGTGTCTGTCCCTGTATATACATGCACCCCGAGGGCAGGTGATGACACTGTTACTAGTAGAAATAGGTCCTGATGGTTTCACAGAACCCATGACGAGTGTAAGCGTTGGCCTTCCTCCCTCCTGGTTGCCTTTCATGTGTATAACAAACGTGGTGTTTGAGTATTAAAGCAGAACCATGGATCTTACCTCTGAGAAAAACCAGTTTAAGAATCATAGCTGGCAGCAGTTAGTAAGCTCTTATATGCCAGGTGCTGTGCTCCATGCTTGAGTCTGTCATCTGGTCCTCACATACACCCTGGGACACATTGATTACTGTTGTTACCCCCATTTTACAGACTTGGGGATTGAGGCTTAGAGAGGTCATGCACTGTGCTCACTGTCGCACAGTCAGGAATGTGCAGTATGACCTGTCTGGTTTCAAAGCCTGGACACTTGGCCCTGTCGCTCTACAGCCTGCCTTTTCCAAGATGCTCTGGGCTCCTTTGCAGCGTCCCTGCCAGGAAGACCAGGGCCTCTTCCCCATATAGATGACCATGAATTGGCCTTCCTGTTCTCAGAGGATGGAACTAAATGTCTTCCTCATGGTCATCACGCTCAGTCTGTAACCCCTGGACCAGTGTGTAACCCCTCCCAAGCCTGTCTGCTCGCGCACTCACAGACAGCCCTCAGATGGTCAGTGCTTGGTCAGCCCTCCCCTGCGAGATTTAGGGACCTCTTGTGGTGAAGTTTCGGCTCTGTTGCTGAGTGGTTTGTGGCCAGGCTGTGCTCCTCGCCCTCTTGGTGCCCTGCTCTACTCTCCTGTGAAATGAAGACAATGACAGAAAGCATGCTCTTGAATGGCCATGGGCTGTTCCTGTCTGCACACAGGCCAGAGTTGAGGAAGAGCCTACACTAGCGACAGGCACAGAACACACCCTCCTGCCCTGCTGGCTCGTACTTCACTTTTCTTGCTAGCAAGGCTTTCTCAGTGAAGGAAGCAGTGTGCGATCTGTCTCCAGGCAGAACAGCCTGGTGGGAACTGGGGCTCGCTGGCGGGCCCCTTTATACTCAAGACTGTTGATATCATCAACTTACTGAACATGCAGTAGCTAAAGAATAGAGAAGTTTGGCTTAGAATAGACAACTATAATTCGTAGTGTTTTTCTAATATTTTGAATAACATGTTTATTTTTTTTAATTGATTTCAGAGAAGAAGTGAGAGAGAGAAGCATCAATGATGAGAGAGAATCATTGATTGGCTGTCTCCTACACACCCCCTACTGGGGATTGAGCCCACAACCTAGGCATGTGCCTTTGTCTGGAATCAAACCTGGGACCCTTCAGTCCACAGACTGATGTTCTATCCACTGAGCCAAACCAGCTAGGGCTGAATTACTTAGAAATTTTTGGTGAAGATGTTCTATTTCCAGTTACTTTTTCTTCTTCTAAATCTTAGCTCACTTATATTTGTCCTGTCATGACTGCTCTGGGTGGTTGTGAGGTTGCAATCAGGTGTGTGTGCCGAGTCCCTGGTGCCATCAGACGCGGCCAATGGGTATGCAATGGCACCTTTTTACTCCCCAGTGCCCTTGGATATGCCCAGACGACTTCCCAGCTCCCTGGAGCCTCCCCTTATCATCAAGTCTGACATGGCACGTAGACTCTAGTCCAGCATTGGGTGCACCTTCCAGGAGGAGCGCAGAAGGAGAGGGCCGGCCAGGCCACATGGGGTGAGCTGGGAGTTGTCCTGAGCAACGGGCTCATCACGTCAACTGGGCTTTGAATGAGGGTTGGCCTTTGCTTGGGCATTTGCTGGTCTTCATGGAGTTTACAGTCAGTTCAGCCACAAGGGTCACTCCCCATCCTGTTCTTTGTTTTGGGGTTTTCACAAATCATTGTTTTAACCTGCACCTAAGTTTCACAGTGATAGGGTTAGCCATTTTGTAGCCTGTGTTCTGATGGTTGGGAATCAGGAGGGGACGCAGAATTGCCCAGCTGTTGCTGATGGTTATGTCTTAACAACCTCAGCTCTGTTCTGCACTAATTCACTTGGTCATCACCGAGCCATTGGGATGCAGGGGATCGATACTTTGTATACAATATCATTTTTTAAAAGGCGTACGTTGGCTCCTCAAGTCTCTTTGTGCACACAGGTGCTTGGGAGGCGCAGTTTGTGATGTACAGCCCTGACCTCATCACAAAACTCAAATATGTCCATTCCTGAGGGCCCATTTGTGCCCCATGCTGTTGCCACCACCCTGCTTCCCATACTCACATCCCGGCAACCTAGAATCTTCTATACCATGGAGACCATCTTTTAGTGAAAACTTAGGGGTATTTCCTCTAAGCCAGAGTGAACACATTGTTTTTCAACTGCATATAATGTTTCAGTTATGACACTCAATCTAGACATTATTGAGAAACATGAGCCAGACACACGTGTGGTGGTGGAGGAGTTAGCTACCTTTTCCCTTTTTTAACTGTTTGCTTCAGACTCCGGTACTAATTTGAATCATTATTGAAAATGGTACTGGGTCATGGTACAAGCTGTTTCTTTTTTTCCTTTTTAACAAAAAGGTCTAGATAATTTTGCTGGTATTTCTTTCTAGGGTTACCAGATCAACACATTCTCCCCTCCCCGCTGGGGAGAGCAAATGCTGCCTAGTCCGTGATTATGTGGTCCAGGTCTCTGCCATCCCTTCAGTGGCTGTCCCATGGTGTCCTGGGACCCTGGGTAGGGCAGGCCCTCAGGCTACCTGGAGGCTCGGGAACAGGAATGTCCCTGTGTCCTGCCAGGACCCACATTCACCCGTGTGCAGCGGCTGGGGACTGGAGCCAGGCTCTGAGCTGTGCAGTTGGTGGTCCGCAGCCCTGTGTCCTGTGAACAAGACCTGCCTTTAAAATGGCATTAGCCTGAGACAGCTTTGTACTTGGAGAAAAGCAGAGCTAGTTGATTTTCAAATAAGTATATGATTGTAATTTAATGCGTATGTGGTTTTGCCGAAACCAGTTTGGCTCAGTGGATAGAGCATCGGTCTGCTGACTGAAAGGTCCCAGGTTCAATTCCAGTCAAGGGCATGTACATTGGTTGTGGGCACATCCCCAGTGGGGGTTGTGCAGGAGGCAGCTGGTTGGTGTTTCTCTCCTCATCGATGTTTCTTGCTCTCTATTCTCCCTTTCTCTCTGTAAAAAATCAATAAAATATATTAAAAATAAATAAAGCCTATGTGGTTTTCATTTTTTTGGTTAAGTCTATTGTTAACTAAGTTTACACTTATTCACCCTCAGTTGCCAGCTTCCCGAGAAGAGGTACGAGATGATAAGACAACGATAAAATGTGAAACATCCCCTCCTCCCTCCCCGAGGTCCCTGCGCTTGGACAGGCTGCATAAAGGAGCCCTGCACACGGTCAGCCACGAGGACATCCGGGACCTCAGGAAGTAAGGAGGCACAGTCTATAGAAAGTAAGGGGTGGGCGGAGCCAGTCACCATGGAAACATACTTGTCTGAATTTTTAATATTAAGAAAGGTTTTTTGGGTTTTTTTGCTTTTAGAGAGGAAGGGAGATGGGGGAAGAGAGAGAAATTTCAATGATGAGAGAATCATTGATCATCTGCTTCCTGCACACTCTCCACAGGGGATCAAGCATGCAACCTGAAAATCGAACCATGGCCTCCTGGTTCATAGTTGATAGTCAACCATTGAGCCACACCAGCCAGGCAAACAATTGATTTTGTTTTGTTGTTAATTCTCACCCCGAGGATATTTTTCCACTGTTTATTTGTTTGTTTTAGAGAGAGTGGAAGGGAGGGAGAGAAGAGGAGAGAGAGAGAGAAACATGGATGTGAGTGAGAGACACCGATTGGTTGCATACATGTCCAAATTGGTGGGGAACAAACCGTAGTCCAAGACTCTGACCACTTGGCAGCATTGGCCAAAAGCATTGATCTTTTCTTGATTAAAAAAGTCAGAATAATGATTTTTTTAAATACTGGCTAATTCAGTAGTGTTTATTTGAATGGTGTTCTCAGCATGGGGGCCATGGCCTGTAGCTGCAGTGATGCCGAAAGTGCAACGTGGTTGGTAGAGGCAGTGCAAGAAGGCAGACTGAGACCAGATCCGCCATTTAGGGAAACCTCATTTCTTCAGACTCCACAGGTCCACTGTTTTGAGAACGAACTTTCTATTCTTGCGGGAGTGTTTGCCCCGCACATGGCACATTTCTGGCAGCCGCCCTGTGAGGCAGTCGGTGGCTTTCAGGTGCCCCAGTACCTTTTAGCTGTGGGGACTTCACATCGTCCTTCCTGCTCCTGGTATCTGCCCTCAGGAGCCAGGGAGACAGCTCTGCTCTGGCTACTCTTGCTCTTTCCACAGCCGGCACAGTTGCACTCGGGGGACTGAGGGAGCTGCAGAGAGTGGGCACTGCCGTGTCACTGGCTGGGGGTGTCCTCTGTGGCAGGTGGTGTCTCAGGCCCAGAACCTCGGCCTCCCACAAACAGGTTTCCGTCGGGGACCCGGGAGCCCACGCTTCCTGGCATGTGTGAAGTAGTTGTTGCAGAAGAGACGGAGATGTTTGTGGTGAAGTGTGAGAGCGGGTATTAACAATGTGGAGAGTACTGGCTCCTGTGACAGGGCACCTGTTAAAGATCCTCTTCTGTCCCCGAAGCTCGACAGGCTCCCAGGACGGCCCGGTGAGCAACCCCAGCAGCAGTAACAGTAGCCAGGACTCGCTCCACAAGGCCCCCAAGAAAAAGGGCATCAAGTCCTCCATCGGCCGCTTGTTTGGCAAGAAGGAGAAGATGCGCGCCGGGCACATCGGCAAGGAGGCGCTGGGACAAGGTCGGTGTTCTCAGCAAACCCCAGCCGTGAGGGGAGGGTCTGCCATACCAGCTGGGTGTTCTCGTGGGGCCTAGGCTAGAGACATGTATGTTTTTCTCCGTGCGTACGTACAAACCAGACAGCCACGGTAACATTTCTGTGTCTGAATAACAGCTTCTCGTGGAAGTAAGCGGTTTACTTCTCTGGGCATCTTCGTGGCATCAAAAACAGCCTGTAGTTTTTCACTCCACCTGCTTACACTGTCCACCTGTTGATGAAACCATCTGAGGTGGCCATATTGATTTCCTCTCTTTCCACTACTCTGCTTCCTCATAGCTGGCATTTCAGAAACAGAAAACTCATCTCCAGACGCCTTAGGACTTAGCAAATTGGGGGGACAAGCTGAGAAAAATCGCAAACTTCAGAAAAAGTAAGTGTTTTGTTGTTCAACTCACTGAATAGGTTTTTTTATTGTACCTGAGTTTTACCTAGTGTTAGTTTATTATATGTGTCATCTAGCTACATATTATATATATATATTATCTTCTAAAGATTAACATAAAGCCTTTGTTAAACTGTACTTAGGCCTGCAGAGAACTTCTGACCCCCACAGGCCCCAGGGTTCCCCCTGCTGACTGCCCTGTGGCAGCTGGCATTGCCTCTGAGTTTCCGGCTCCTGTCTTCCCCGTGTGTACAGATGGAAGTTGTGGGGATGTCACTTTTCTGGATATGAAGCCTTGCAGTAAAGCACGGGATGACCCAGTGTCGTCATTCTGCAAGCACCTAGTTAGCTAAATAGCAGAAAAGAATAGAAACCGCCCAAATCCAGTCCACCGTGCGCTTACTCCGTTAGCCCATTATTCGTCTCTAAAACCTGCATTGTTCTTCACGTTGGTGGCGCTGTCCCAGAGGCAGCACTTTGTTCAGACCAGCTGCAGCTTCCTCCCTCCTCCTCAGTGCTCAGAAGGGGAGCGAGGTACTTTCACTGGAACACCCTGCCTCGGATAGAGACCGCTAGGTTTATAAGTTGGTGCTAATTCTTTCTTCATTCTGCAAAGAGGCGATGCTGTGGAGATGGAGGAGCCAGTCAGCACTTCATCCTCCAGGCATTCTTTGTCGTTTGCAGCAAACCAGCACTAAGTGGGGGATGAGAGGAGGATGGGCATGCGCTCTTACACTGGGAGCGGTTACGGAGAGAACTCCGTCATCGTGTTTCATGTTCGTGATAGTCGGACTCTGATTTCAGTGTCTTGTCATTTGCAGGCACGAGCTGCTCGAGGAAGCACGGAGACAAGGTCTGCCTTTTGCACAGTGGGACGGGCCCACTGTGGTCGTGTGGCTGGAGGTACGCCTCCTTCTCTTCGGGAGTGAGGGTGTTGGCGGGTGAGCGTGTGATTCCCATCAGATTCTCAGCCTAACCCGGCCTTGACACTTCCTGTCTCTAGCTCTGGGTGGGGATGCCGGCCTGGTATGTGGCCGCGTGCCGAGCCAACGTGAAGAGCGGGGCCATCATGTCGGCCCTGTCGGACACGGAGATCCAGCGGGAGATCGGCATCAGCAACCCTCTGCACCGGCTGAAGCTGCGGCTGGCCATCCAGGAGATCATGTCCCTGACCAGCCCATCGGCCCCACCCACATCCAGGACGGTACGTGTCAGTCCCCTGCTTCCTTAGAAATACACCCAAGGCTTCAGTTTAAAATTTTAGCATTCAGAAACATTGCAGTTTCTTATTGGTGACAATTGGGTGCTAAAAGACACTTTATTAAATGCTTTTACAGCAGCTTTGCTACAGTGGCATTGTAATATGGGAGGAGTTTGAAAACAGAAAAGTGATGATCACATTTAAATTGAAATTTATGAAAAGTGAAGGGAAAAAAGCTTAGATCCCCAGTTGTATTATAATCAGTGTTTCTTTACTGATATATTCGGCCTGTGGATGCTGCCCACTGGGGGGCTGGAGCCCCTGGGAGCACGGGGTGTGAGCAGTCCTGACCCAGTAGGTGGGCCAGCATGGTCTGCTCAGTTTCCCGCACGGGGGAGGCCTTGAACATCCTTCAGAAGGTGCTGGTTGGAAAGTTAAAAACATACCTCAGGGCACATGCTCGGTACCCAGGGTCCAGCAGCTCTGGCATTGGCCCTGGGCCTCTCTGCTCTGAGTCTGCTCTAGAGAAAAGACCTGGTCAGGCCCCGGAGACACAGACACTCGTCTGAGTGGAGGCTAAGGCCTGATTCGGACGTGCAGCTGCTCCTCACAGTGAGTTCAGAGTGCATGTGTCGGTTTTGTTTCACAGGGAAGGCGGAACAGAACCCCTGTCTCAGCTGCTGCCCAGGTGCTCTTGTCCCGTGGGCTTGTCCCAGTTCACCTCAGAGTGGCCTTTCTAGAAAGAAGGGGCTGATGGTTCCCCAGTGTTTCATAAACTCGTGACAAAGACAGCTCCTGAGTGGACAGTGGGAGCACACCTCCCCTGGGGGTGCCTTCCCTGCACCCCAAGACCAGGGGAGCTGTTCCCTGAGGATGCTGGGGCTAAGGCCTATTTGTAGGCCAGCTGAAGGGAGGGGGCCGTTCTGTGGTCACAGCCCAGCTGTCAGCCTCCTGATGCCCCCACGCGAGGTTGTCCAGGTCAGAGGCCACTCACAGCGGCACCTGCTGAGAATCATCTTCCCATCACCTCAGCCTGCTTCTGTGCTGTCTGTCAGACCGCACTCAGCCTATTGACTCGACAGTCACAGCTCTCAAGAGTACGACATGTTTCCTCTGTGCCTGTCACATACCTCAGGTGGTAAGCATGGCAGGTACACCCGGAGGCGTGGCTGCTCTCGTGCTGTTGACAGCAGTGTCAGTGAGGTGCGGCTGCTCTGTAAAGGGGGAGCTGGCGGTAACATGTCCCTTTCCGCGGGGACATCTAAGACGAAAGTGAAAAGAACGCCCTTTGCCTCGCCTGCTCCTCTGAAGTGCCTGTGGCTTACATGTCTGCCACCTTTCCTTTTTGTCCCTGCTTCCCTTGTCCTGGATGGGCTTGGTCATGGGTCCCCTAGACCACAGGAAATGTCTGGTTAACGCACGAGGAGATGGAGACGCTCACCGCCACGCCACGCACGGTCAGTGCCGCCCGGGCTTGTGTCCCTCAGGGCATCCCGTTCAGAGCGGGGACACACTGTCATCTGCATCATACTGTTCCCGACAAGCATTTCTTTTAGGTCTGGGCTAAATGTGTGCAATAGAATGCCTATTTTATCTTTTAGTTTTTTCTTTTTGTTTGTTGGTTTTTTGTCATGAACTTAAAGTTGGTAGACCAGCTCTGCTTAGAATAGATTGAATTCTTTTCTCTTGAGGGGAGACCTCAGGTTAGTCCCCACTGTGAGGGTCTGACCCAATTCTCCTCCTCTGTGGGTGCACTGGGCGTGGATGCCAGCTCCTTGCATGCAGGAGGGGGTGTGGGCCGTGCATGAGTTCTGCATGCTTGTGCTGTTTGGGCTTTCCCTTGGTGAAGCTGCACTGCCCGCGTTCACTTTTGCGTTCCTGAGCTCACAGTACTAACCGTATGTGTATGTTCTCTTGCATTCCTAACCACGTAACATCAGGAGGATGAGGAGGGAAGCTGGGCTCAGGTTGGAGACTTTCTATAATCTATTCTTCACTATATGTACAGCAACAAAAAGAATTGGAGTATGAAAACTTGTAATTTACTTTTCTTGACGTTTTTAACATCTTAATTTATTCCTAATATTGTTAATGATTTGAAAGCAACAGTCATAGCCAAGTATAGGATTTAAGAATGCAAAGAGGATGTCTCATGGACAATTTTGAACATTTCTCAGCTTTCTTGTCGGGAGCCACAGTGGTTCACCCTCATGAATGTAGATCACTTTGCATGACATGCGGCCTTTATGCAAAGTCCTGCGGACTCAGCAGCTCCCAAGATCAGATATGTCCGTCCCCAGTAGGGCCACTGTAGTTATAAGATCTGCCGATGGGAACACAGTTCTTATAAATTAACAACACAAGTGGGTTCGGAGGCTCCCCTCTGAGTGTGTGTGGGCACTTCACTAACTCTGTGAGCTAACTCTCAGCTTTCCTCCTGGGGAAACCTCCGTTCGGCTTCTCGCTTAGTGTACTTCTAGATTTTCAACCTTCCGGTTCTTCCACTCCAGCTGGTTTTAGCTGTGCTAAGCAGTGGCTCCCCTCCCGAGTCAGCCAGCACTGCCTGGCTGTGCATTTCAGCAGCACTTGGAGCCGGGAGAGTGGACAGACCTTTCTCCCGAGGCTCTCCTTAGAGGCGTTGTGCATGGGTCCAGAGATTGTGTATCTGAAAATCAGTCGTTTTAAATGAGAATTTTTCTAATGACACTTGGTGGTTGAAACTCCTATTCCCCCTATTGGTCCCCTTAAAGTAAAGCCAGGTACGTCACCTTCCTAAACAAAAGAGGGGGGCTCAAGCAGGATTCCCTGAGCTCCCCGCCCCCACCTATGGGCTGGCTGCTTCTCCAGGTAAAGGCCCCATCGACCTTCACAGAGTCAGTAGTGACCACTAGAGCTAAAAAGGGTGTGTTTCACAGTTACTCATATGTCAGTGAGCTGTACGGTAAGAAGCAGAGCTCTGTCGTAGGAAATCCCTTCCCAGGAGGCACGGCGTATAAATTAAATAAGCTGAACACTGGCCCTTTGCTGTGGAAATGTAAGCAAGAGTGAGCTGTGCTGATGATGCCAGGATTAGCCAGCGTTCGGTCTTCGGTGTGAGCCAAGGCCATCGGGTTTCTAGATGAGAGGAAGGGGAGATGGATTCGGATGGCGCCAAGCATGGCAGTCGCTCGGTGCCCTCACCATGCCACCGCACAGCGGCAGCTCTGCAGCCGGGGAAGTTTGAGGTGCCCATGGGCTCTGGGGGAAGAACATGTCAAGATGCAGCCCATTGGGCAGGCAGCATCCGTGTGTCCACCCGCAAGACTGCTGCTTCCAGAAACACAGCAGGGAACAGGACGGCCCTGGGCCCTCCCTGCGCCCCGTTCTACAGAGCTCAACCATCAGAATTGAATTTGTGATCATTCCAACAATGGGGAACAGACCCTGTTCCGTGGCTGTCTTTTGTCGCCCACGTTCTCTGACATGAGAAACCCTGTGGCGTGCGTTTCACAGAAGCCTGTGATGGTGACCCAGGAGATGTGGGCCTCTCGGGGGTGAACCGGGCCTCCCAGGAGTCACATCACTGACCAGGAGGAAGAGTGGCTAGTCACTTAGAAGTTTCTTTGCATTTTGTGTCCATTTAAGAATTACATATTCGGCAGGCAAGAAAACAATGCCAGATATCCATGCTCTTCGTGCCTGTGAGGTGAAAGTGAGGCTTGAAAGACTGAGAAAATTATGGTATTGTGACAGTCTCCAAAAAAAGTCTGTGTTTCTCACTCATGGTTGTTTAGAGCAAATAGTAGCACGCTTTTCTGTTAGAGTTTGCGCATTCCTGTGTGAGTCTGAGTCCTTCCTCTCAGCTTGGCTGGTATAAATAATTGCTGAGAGACCATGTTTTCTAAACAGCGTGGTGGGCGGTGGAGTTGCTGTTTCCAGGGATCTGTGCAGCACCCGGTGGCTTAGTTTGGTCTTGGGCTGAAGAACTCCTGTGTCTTCTTTGTCGTGTGTCACATACACACCATGTGCTCCTTTCTTCTCTGGACAAAGTTCTGTTGGATTTATCCAAGGCGTCCGTGGTGTTGTAAATGGCATTTTAAAAATCAGTTTCTGTTTCATTTCTAGTGTTTAGAAAATACTGTTCATTTTCATATATTCCCCTTGCATCCTGCAGTTGACTGGACTCCTTAGTTGTAATGCTGTCTTGTAGATTCATTTCAGGCGTGTTAGGTCACCTACCCATAAAGCTGTCTCTTCCTCACCAGTTACATGCTTCAATTCATTTTTCTTGCCTTGTCACAGTGGCTAGAGCTGCAGCACAGCTTTGCATAAGACGTCTTTCCTCTGTCCCGACGGGAGGAGCTTTAGTCTTTCCCCGTGGAGGGGTGTCAGCTGTGCGTGTGGCGGCGTTCCTCCGCTCTAGAACGCGGAGACTGCCATAAAGGAATGGTGGGTTTTGTCAGAGGCCTTCCCTCATCTTTTGGGATGTGGTTTTTCTTTTCAGCCCATTGACATGGTGAATTTCATTGATTTTTCAAACGTTGACCCAGATTTAAGTTCTCGAAAAAAACCCCACATGCCCTGTTTCATTACTTAATATATTACTGATTTGCTGGGCTAATGTTTTGGTTTTTTGGGTGGTTTTTTTTTTTTTGGGGGGGGGGTTGTGGGGGTTTTTTTTGCTGTGCTAATATTTTGCATGGAGATTTGCATCTGTGTCTCTGAGGGATATTGGTCTGTAGTTTTCTTGTAATACATTCATTGGTCTGGGTTCAATGTCAGGACAATGCTGGCCTCGTAGAATGAGTTAGGCATTTCTTCGCGTTTTTGGAATAGTCTATAGAATTGCTCTTTTTTCTAAGTGTTTGTTTGGTAAGATTCACCTGTGAAGCGATTTAAGACAGAGATTTTGGGTGTGAAAAGGTTTGTAACTACAAAAAAAGTTCTGATAGACATAAGTAATACACTTCTTACTCAGTGGCTTTCATAGATTGAGTCGCGTAAAGTTGTTCACAATTTTCTCTTATTATTCCTCAATGTCTACAGGGATATTGTACCTTTATCCCCTTTCATTCTTGATATTGGTAATAACTTCTGTTTTGTTTGTTTTTTATTACTCTGGCGAAGGGTTAGACAATTTTATTGATAGTTTAAAGAAACAGATTTTAGCCGAAACCAGTTTGGCTCAGTGGATAGAGCATTGGCCTACAGGTTCGATTCCGGTCAAGGGCATGTACCTTAGTTGTGGACACATCCCCAGTAGGGGGTATGCAGGAGGCAGCTGCTCGATGTTTCTCTCTTATCGATGTTTCTGGCTCTTTATCCCTCTCCCTTCCTCTCTGTAAAAAAATCAATAAAATATATATATTTTTTTTTAAAGAGAAAAAGAAACAGATTTTAGTTTCATTTTATTTTTAATTATTTTTCTTTTTTCTGTTGCATTGGTTTCTGCGTTTTTTTCTTCATTCTTCATTTGCTTCCTTCTGATTTAATTTGTTCTTTTCAAGGTTTTTCAGGTAGAATCTTAGATTATTGGTTTGTGACCTTTCCTCAATTATATCACAAGTATTTATACTATACATTTCCCTCAAGGCACTGCTTTAGCTGTGTCCCATAATTTTTGAATATATTGTGTTTTCACTCTAAGTTTAATATATTTTCTCATTCCTCTTAGGATTTCTTCTTTGACACATGGGTTATTAGAAGTATGCTGATTTCCAAATATTTAGGAGATTTCCATTTACCTTTTTATTATTGATTTCTAATTTAATCTTTTGAGGTCATAGAACATAATTTTTATGATTTCATTCTCTGTGTCTACATTGAGCTCTGTCATGGAGAATGTTCCATATGCCCTTGTAGCTGTGGAGTGCTCTATGGCATGTCCATTAGGTTCAGGGGTTGGTACTGAGGCATCCAGGACCTTACTGGGGTGGAGGTTGATGAACTGAGAGTGGGCCTGTGTGTGTGTCTGTGTCTCCTTTCAGACCCATCGGGTCTTTTATCTCTTCTCTTAAAACTATTTCATTTACTTTTTTTAACTGATTTTGAAATTAACATGTTTTATAAAGAAAATTTAGAAAGCAAAGTATTAAAATTAAAGCCAGTGGAGACGTATTTAATGAGTACAGGTGGGTAGGTCCTTCAAACTTGTTCATGAGTCATGGTCATTCTTTGGTTTTATGTTATTACACATAAAATGTATTCCAGAAAGATAATATGTAGTCAGTTACAGTTTCTGTTGTAGTTCCATAAATAGATTAAATTTATAAACACAAATGAGTCATAGGTTCTTATCAGTCTAATTGCTTTTGTATAAAGTTTTACTAACACTCAAAAAGTAGTTAACAGGAGAGCAAATGATTTTGAAATTATAAAGGAGAAGGTTGTCCTTTGGGAATATGTCATAGACTAAACATCCAGTGTAAAGATTATTTAAACTGCTCTTGTGACCTCTTCCCTGTTTTTTCTGGACTGATTGTACTCAATTATTGAAAGCAGACGCTCGCGTACGGGGACATGAACCACGAGTGGATCGGCAACGAGTGGCTGCCCAGCCTGGGCCTCCCGCAGTACCGCAGCTACTTCATGGAGTGCCTGGTGGACGCGCGCATGCTCGACCACCTGACCAAGAAGGACCTGCGGGGGCAGCTGAAGATGGTCGACAGCTTCCACAGGCACGTCGCTGCCGCGTGCTTACTGCTTGGCTGACTTGCTGACTTTCGACTGTTACCATTTCTCTTTCTGTCTCTCTCTCTCTCTCTCTCTCTCTCTCTCTCTCTCTCTCTCTCTGTCTCTCTCTTAATTTTTATTATTATTTTTTTTAATAAACAGAAACAGTTTCCAGTGCGGAATTATGTGCCTGCGAAGATTAAATTATGACCGAAAAGAACTGGAAAGGAAAAGAGAAGAAAGCCAGAATGAAGTAAAAGGCTAGTACATCATGTCTAATTGATACAGAATGTCCCTGCTTCCCCATTTAAAGAAATCAGGAAAGGCTCTGAGTGGGGACCATGAGCCTGGAGTCCTCTCACAGAGAGGGAGGGAGAAAGAGGGCTTTCCAAGTTCCCACTGCGGCTGGAGCAGCTGGGCCTGGTGTCTTGTGCATCTTTAGTCTGTAGTTCGGTGCATCGAGGTGCACGTTCTCCCTCTGACTCAGCATTTCCTGTTGGTAGGACACAGGCTCCTTTCACTCTGTCTGAACAGCTAGCAGGCTGGGCGAGAGCCGGTCTCCACTCACCTGATTGAAGTGTGAATGCCGCTCTGGCCGCTGACCAAGAACCTGAGCCACAGAACAGAGCAGGTGGTGCTGCTCCAGGGCGGGGAACAGTGCGGGGCTGACATTCCAGCGGAGCCGGGGGCTGCAGCGGAGCTTCCTGTGGAGAGGCAGGCAGAGGCGTTTGATGGGAAGCAGGCGGGCCCGGCAGCAGGTAGCATTTGATTCCAGTCAGGGCCCAGGCCTGAGTTGCGGGCTCAAATCCCAGTGCGGGGCATGGAGGAGGCAGCTGATCAATGATTCTTTCTCATCATTGATGTTTCAATCTCCCCCTCTCCCTTCCTCTCTGAAATCAATAAAAACAATATTTTAAAAAATAAAAACAGATGGGGAAGTGTGAGAAGATGCAGATGTTGGATTGGGAGACCAAAATGCTTATCTTTGTGGGTTTATTTAATCCTTCCCGCCGCCCTCTAAATGCTGCTGTGCCCAGCCCTTACTAAGAAGTGGAAGATGAACATGTTTGGGGTGATGGCCCATTGGAAGGACAGCCTAGTTGTGTTTGAGTTGATGTGACTCATGAGAACAACTATAAGCCCACACTCACATTGTGTGTGTGTGTGTGTGTGTGTGTGTGTGTGTGTGTGTGTGTGTGTCCTTTAGAAATTAAATGTGTAAACTGTTTCGTTTGTTTTCTCTAGTCATTTTACATCTTTTTACAATTGACAAAAGCTGTCTTTGAAAGCAGTTGATGATCACCTATGTATTTGAGAGAGGTATTTTTAGAGAAAATTTAATAATTTATTGCTTTGCATAATGTAAGATCTTCTGCTCCTCTCCCCCACTCCTCCCCCCTTTCCTAATTCTTAGTATTCTGGAGAATTCCTTTACGTTTCTCTTTTAAAAGTGAGACAAGAAAAATGGCTTCAAGATCATAAGCAGGAAGTTTGTGTTGAGTGAGCAGGCATGCATGTTGGTGCCAACTCCTGTGATGGGAGGAACATGTTTCAAGTATTCTGCAGTCTGTGTGTGAGTCGTGTTGGCACCTGGTGAGCACTCGGATTCCTGTCTGTCCTTTTGGCTTCCCATCCCTGGTCAGTGAGTGGCTGTGTACACCTTGTTTCCTGGCCCAAGGAGTGTGGGCTGAGGCAGGCACTGAAGGGTCAGGACCCCTGCAGGAGCCCTGGTCCTGGTCTGGGGGACACAGGATGGAGACAGCCTCTGAAGTCACTTGCTTCGTGTTGTTCCCTGCAGATGTGCTCGTTTGGAGCAACGATCGCGTGATTCGCTGGATCCTGTCTATTGGCCTGAAGGAATACGCAAACAACCTCCTGGAGAGCGGGGTGCACGGGGCACTCATGGCCTTAGACGAAACCTTCGATTTCAACGTGCTGGCCCTCCTCCTGCAGATCCCCACGCAGAACACCCAGGTAACGCCGCCGGCCTCACTCAGCCCGTGTCCCCTCGGCTCTCCTGACCAGGACCTTCAGCGAGTTACCTAAATGGAGACAAAGCTCGAAGCCTCCAGCAGCGTGTAATCTCTCCCTGCCTAACCTGGATGTGACAGTTCAGATCAGCAAGGCCTGGCTCTTCATTATTTTTGTCCTCTTTCCGTTTCCTGTTGCATGACGATAAAATAACAGGAAGTTTTCATTCAGGTCCATATGCTCATGGAAGTCACATCTATGTCCAACCTCACGTGGAAGAGAAGTCCTTCCACCTGCCGGGCGGAGGGCAGTCGTTCCTGGGCGCTTCTGCCTGCCTGATCCTTTCTGACCTGCGGGCTCATTGGAGAGCAGGACAGTCTGTTCCTCTCAGGGGAGGCGTGTGCTTTGCTAGTGCTCCGCCCCCACCCGCAGGCCACTCCCCTGGCTGCACCCCTACACAGCACCCCCCCACTCCAGTTTCTAGAAGCCCATGGGGAACCCCGCAGTAAAACCCTGATCTGGTCACTGTCATTGCTCCAGGCACTCAGAGCTTTTTCCAAAGTTTTTTATTTTGTTTTAGTTTTTATATTTATTGTTGAAAATACAACAGATGTCTCCCTTTATCCCCCTTCCCTCCCTTCAAAGGTTTTTAAGTCTTGGTTGTAAGAACAGCTGTGCTGTGCTGACCCCTCCCTCCCCGGTGAGACTGAGCCTGTGTTTTATCCTTTCAGGCTCGCGCTGTCCTGGAGAGAGAGTTCAACAATCTCTTGGTCGTGGGCACGGACAGGCGGTTCGGTGAAGTAAGTCTCGGCCTAATGACCGCGTCAGACTTGTCCAGTTTAAGCTGGTGTCTTTTCTAGGTGTGGCCATGTGTTCAAGTTAAGCTTTGTTCTTAGAACTTTAGGAACCAATGAGCTATTAAGAAACTAACATTTTCAGTAAGATAGGTTATTTTTTGTTATTTAACTTTTGATAATCCCCAGAAATGTTCATAAAACATTGGGGATAGCCTAGGAATGGAGACTATAAGTTGTGTTTTGGGAACATTTGGGAGACTTTCAAAAATACATTAAACATAAAAATGTTAATTTCTTCTTATACAAAACCATGGCTCATTGAGTTCCACACTGTTATCTCTCTTCTTCGGGTCTGAAGAAACTTGAGGTTGAAGCACTTGCTGGTTCTACTCCAGCAAAAGGCAGAATCCTTCAGCTTGGCGGCTATTTTTAAGACAAAGATATATTCTCTTACATAGTTAGAAAGTGATTTTTGCAGGACAAGTGACACGTCGTGGTAGAGGGAGGGGAGGACGGGACAGGGCTGGTTTCTGCCCAGGACGGGCCCCTGTGTGAGTGCCACCACCCGCCTCTCGGTCAGAGGTTCCCAGCTCAGTCCCCGAGGCATGTGGTCGTCAAGACCGGGTGTGGGGGCCTGCGAGTGAGAGTGCAGCAGCGAGTCCAGCCACCATTTCAGAGGGCTGAAGCCCACTGTGCTTTCTTGTCCTTTATTTTACAATCATTTTGTTTTCTGCCCTTTCCTGTCCCAGGACGATGATAAGACCTTTAGGAGAGCACCTTCTTGGAGAAAAAAATTTAGACCAAAGGACGTTCGTGGCTTAGCTGCTGGATCAGCAGAGACTCTCCCTGCAAACTTCCGCGTCACCTCCTCGCCCTCCGTGCCCCCGAAGAAGATGCAGCTGGACGGTACGTGGGCGCTCGTTGGCCGCAGTGTGGGTGGTGACGGAGCACGGCTTGTTTGATGTTACGAGGCATTTCAGTACTGCTGCATGCCCCGGCTTCAATGTTTTAAAATTAATCCTAACAGCTGTTTATAAAAGTTTAACAATAGGAAACTTTTACTTATGTTCATGTCTGGTTGAATATTCATATTCTTCCAGTGAATGGTGCTGAGCACTGCATGTCCTCCGTGTAGATGGATATCGTGCATGTAAGGCAGCACTAGAACTCACCATAGCAGCAGTGGGGTGCTCTCTGCCCGCAGCACTTACTCCCAGGACCTCTCTCCACACTGAACAACGGCCAGTCCACCTCACAGCAGTCCACACCCTGGGAGGGCTTCCTTTCTGTGCTTCCCTGTCCCTGCTGGGACCCGCCCACGCCACTTCCTGTCACAGCGGCATGGAGACCATGCGGGCCTGGGGAGTCATCCCTGGCCGGCAGCCTGTCCTGCTGACAGTGCTGCCCCTGTGTCGCAGTCTCAACTCAGGCCTGTGACTGCCCTGCAGCCACTGAGCTCTGCCCGCTCCACGGCAGGCACTGTGCCTGCTTCCCCATCTGATGCGATGGCCAGAGGAGGGAATCCCCATAAAACTGTCAGAAAATGTGTGGCCGGCCACAAGTCATAGTATTCATGTTCCTGTGACAGATGGCTCCATCCTCATTTCTTTTTCTTTATATATTTTGTTGATATTTTACAGAGAGGAAGGGAGAGGGATAGTTAGAAACATCAATGAGAGAGAAACATCGGTCAGCTGCCTCTTGGACAACACACACACTGGGGATGTGCCCGTAACCAAGGTACATGCCCTTGACCGGAGTCGAACCTGGGACCTTTCAGTCCACAGGCCAACGCTCCATCCACTGAGCCAAACCAGTTTCAGCTCCATCCTCATTTCTGAAGTAGAGGGGTGCCCTAGGAAAATTAAAAATGGCACTGATGTGGTTTTTGCTGTTTTTCATGTTACTAGCCCTTCCCATGAGTGGGTTTAGAAGTTGTGTTTCACTTGCCTATGTAAAAATCAGAGAAAAGTGCATTTATATAAATAAGGCCTTTGCTAAGAAGAATGGCTTGTAGGGCAACATTTTCGTTATTTATGAGAGAGAGGAAAGCAATAGGGAGAGAGAAACATAGATGTTAGAAATATCAATCTGGTGCCTTCCGTACGGGCCCGACCAGGAATCAAGTCCATCACCTCTCAGTGTACGGACTGACGCTCCAACCACCCACGCCCGGGCCAGGCTGCAGGGCCGCATGTCTGTTAGAAAGCTACTCTCTCTGTAATACGCTGATCAGGGGGAGCCAGCAGCTTTTTAAGAAGTCACATTTTTCTTTAAAGGAGCATGCAGATAATTTTCATAAATTTTAATTTGGCCTTTGACTTATTAAATTGTCGAGTGCTTCCTTACTTTCCTCAGAGCTTCTTTCCCATTTTCTGTATTACAATTCACCTTTTCCTTTTACATGTTAACAGCAATATTGAGATTAGAATTTAGATGAATCTAAACTATTTCTAGAAAAAGGTATAGGGAGTATGTTATGTGGAAGCCAACTTTCTACCCTGTGTGATAACTAAAGCAGAGCCCTGATTAAAGGGCTGTTTTATGGTTGTTGAGATAAGGAAGTGTGAGATAAATTGCAGCAGGTCTCCTGGCACTTGGGATTGGAAGGGTCTATAAGCTTGTCCCTTCTCTGCAGCAGTACCAGCTGCCCTAGCATCCTTCCTGGAACCTTAGCAGAATGTTACTAACATGTGTTCCTGGCAGAAAACCAAAAATGTAATTGGGAACCTCAAATATCCGCTTACATACTTTTGAAAATGTCTTAGATTTGCAAGGAGGAATCGGGGCTTACCTATTGGGCTGTGCAGTATGTTTCTTAACCAGAAAGTCCGTGTGCACTGTTTCCCACAGAAACTGCCACGGCTTCAGTTCCTCAGCTAAGTCCTTGTCCACGGCACCCCGAAACCACACCCTGGGCCCTTAGGCTGACCGAGAGGCCTCCTGGGGAGAGCAGGCAGGGCTGAGAGGTGGGCATTGGACGCTGCCCTCCCCCTCAGCGGACTGGCAACAGCTCAGTCACTGCTGGGCTTTCCCCACCTCCTGACAGATGCAGCGTTTAGGGTGGAAAGGAAAACCCAGCTGCTCTATTTTAAGGAGTCACATCACATTAAGCACATGGAGTTTCCTGTGTCACTGATGCTTCAGTGCTGCATGGGGTTAACTTGCAGCAATTGCAGGGCTGCTCGGGAGACAGAGAGACACTTAGGGCACGCAGTTGGTGACACTTAGGTTCCCTGGCCCATCACGTCCCCCCGGAAGGCTCCCTGGGAACCCTCATAGTCGCAGTAGCAGGTGTGCAGGTGTGTGCGCCAGTGCCCTCGTGTGATGCCCACACTAACTGCACGCTGTGTTTGCATGCTTCTTCCCGGGGCGTCGCGCAGGCAGTGTGTCAGGAGCGCCGAGGCTGGATTCCGCCACAGTCAGGACTTACTCCTGCTGACGCCCCCTGTGGTGAGTAGAGCGGCATCCTGCAGCCGGCGCTGAGGCGGCTCGGCCTGGAGAGCCCATTTCCGTTTCTTCAGGCGCTTGAACCAGAGAGTGCGGCCTCTGCGCCACGCGGTGGCTTTGGAGCTGTGTGCTTGCAGTTGGCCACGGGAGCTAGATGTTCCCCTTTAAGGAAGCAGAGTGTCCTCCCGCCGTCTCTAAACCTAAGAATGCTGGCTTATTTTAAGTGTCTGCTAACGGCCTTTTCGGGGTGGAGTTGAGAACAGAGCAGAAAACAGGAACCCAGCTCTTAGCTGGCGGTGGCTCAGAGTGCCAGGCACCGGTCCCGGCACACTGTGATGTGTGCCGGTGTGGCCCCAGGTCTTGGTGCTAGCTGGCTGTCATACACGTTCCTGGTGACAAGCCCTAAAGAACTGTTTGATGACTCTGTACCGTGCTGTGACACTTGTTATAGCCTTTCAATTTAGAGACTGGTTTTAAAAACAGAACTGCATGGTCATCACCAAGATCAGTTCCTGAGGGACATATCCTTGCATTGGGGTGGGGCGGGGGGAAGGGTGCAGGGGGTGGGAGGAGCCAGCCCTGTCACCACTCTGAGGGCTGAATGGAGGGGCTCTGTTCTCATCTCTCAGCCAGATTATTTGATTGGTTTCATCACTTTTTTTTTAAATATGCTCTTATTGATTTTATTTTTAAATGTATTTTTATTGATTTCAGAGAAGAAGGGAGAGGGAGAGATTGAAACATCAATGATGAGAATCATTGATTGGCTGCCTCCTGCATGCCCCTCAATGGGGATTGAGCCTCGACCTGGGCATGTGCCCTGACCAGGAATCAACCATGGCCTCCTGGTTCATAGGTCAATGTTCAACCACTGAGCCACACTGGCCAGGCTGCTTTTATCCATTTTAGAGAGAGAGAGAGAGAGAGAGGGAGGGAGGGAGAGAGAGGGAAAGAGCGAGCGCGCGCTATGTGAGAAACATCCATCGGCTGCCTCCTGCATGCATGCGCCCTCCTGGAGATCAAGCTTGAAATTGGGTCATGTGCCCTGAACAGGAATCGAATCGGTGACCTTTTGGTGCACAGGACGCCGTTCAATTGAGCTACACTGATAGGGTTTGTCATCATTTTTTAAAATCTGCAACTTTTAGACATATGCCAAAATGATGTCAGTCAAAAAATTGTCTCATTGATATACGCAGTCCTTGGTGTTTATCCAAACTCTTGGACAGCTGGAATGCAGGCAGTGGGAGAGCAGGAGCCTGGGGGTGGGGCGTGGACGGTCTCACAGCTGGCCTTTCTGTTTCGTTTGCAGTTTACCCACACTACTTCTACCGGTGACTGCAGCTCTGAGCCCTGCAGGCGGCCTTTTAGAACTCAATGGAACCTTCAGTCTGTCAATGCTTGTTATATGGACCTGAGATATTTTATTACAGAGTTTTTAATCAGTGAAAATTTCACAAATACCGTAAAGAAGATATTTTAGAATCTAATGTTTCTTATATTTATGTAAACTTATGCCTTCATTTATACAGTTATACTTACTTTTTCATGTGTATTTGGGCTATAAATGTCCTATCAGACCAAGTCATGTCCCTGTCTAATTTTAGTCTCTTCAACGAATGTACTGTAATGCTTGTATGTGTAAATCCTGTGAACAGAGGTAGGGCTTTTGTAAATTATGCATTTACTGTAATTATCACGTTTAATTTTTTGATAATAAGCCACAGCAGAGAAAAGGCTCTCACTGGGTCTGTGGAGTCGGCCTGACACCGTGCGGTGGCCTCTCCGAGCTGCACAACATCCCTGTGAAACGGGCAGACGTTCCCAGCAGTTTCTGCTGGGAGTTTAGTGACTGACCTTGCTATACCTTTCCTAGCAAGGAACGCTTTCCTCTGCAGCGTGGATATACCCGAGTGAGACATCGGACTGTGAAAGGACGAATCAGAACACTACGAACTCTGGGCCCGGCTCAGTGCTTTGCAGCCTCGTCTCTGCGGACTGGAGGACGTCTTCAGTGACAGCCAGAGCCGGGAGCGGGGACAGCTCTCTGCTGTCTCATTGATATACACAAGGATTGCGTATATCAATGAGAAAATTAAGAAAATTTAAGAAAACGCAGGTGGGGAGCCTCCGGCTCGGCCCGGGAAGGCCCGGCACCCCTCCCCTCCACGAGGACCAATCACGGCGGCCACATGCACATCGCAGAGACTCGGGTGCAGAGATGACGCACGGGCTCCTGAGAATAATGCTGCGCAACTAATAAAGGCCTTATTTTTCTTACTTAGAACATGTTTTACATTTGTTTGTAAACTTGTTTAAAGAAAGGACCCAGTCGTGCATTTCTGGGGTTGGTGATGTAGCCATTTTGGACGATCCGAGTAGCCAGGGGCCCTTTTTTAATGTCAGCGGCACAGCCAGCAGGGGCTGCGTGCGGATCACGGTGCATTATTTATTCTGCAGCCGCTGCCGAGACAGAAGATGGCGTGTCCCGACATTCGCTTTCCGCTCCGAGCGACACGGACAGTTGGCTGTCGCCCTTCTGTTTTTCTAGTGACCCTTTGTGAACTTCCCGATTGTGTAACACAGTATGTACAGTCCACTTTGGAACTCTTTTTATCACAGTGTTATTTATTGCTTTCTTTCAATAAAGCATTTCCCACTGCCAGTGGGCGTGGGTGGCCTGCCCTGTGCGCCTCAGCTCTGGGCCTTGTCCTCCTGTGGAAACCATGTCGGAAGCCGGTGGGGAGGCGCAGGGGCCATCCGCAGGAGGGCCTGGCGGCCCCTGCCCTTACCTGGAGGCCGAGGTGGCCTCAGCCATCCGCAGGGGAACCAGTGCTGGGAGGACCAGGGCTCAAGAGACTGAAGCAGAGTGGACGTGTGGGCTCATGTCAGCAGTCCACGGGCCCCGCCCCGAACAAAGCCCCGCCCGACCAGCTGGAGCCTGGGCCACAGAGCTTGTGCTCCGTTAAGAAATGTTTTTCCCTCATTGATTCCTTATTGGAGGAGAGAGACAGGCTCCATCCTCCTGGGGCTGAGCTGAGCCAGGCCCACAAGGGCCGAGCGGAGCCCCAAAAAGCCACGCTGAACCTAAAGAGCCCAGCCTCGCTACCAAGAGCCCTGAAGTGCCCGGCGCAGCCCCTGAGCAAGCTCGGCTCTTCCAGCAGGCCCCAGGGAGCCAGCCTGTGTGGGAGCAATTTGCACAGGCGCATCTCCCTCGACAGTCAATGGCCCTCTCAACCTCCAGCTCAGCTCTAAGGCCAGCTGTGCTCACTTAAGGGTCCTTTCCTGGAAGGCAGTCTTGCGGAGGCCGGGGCCTCCCCAAGACCCGGTCAATCTGATGTTCATGGACCCGGACTCTCTCAAAGGGATCTGATCCTTTTGAACAGCGGTCGCCAACCGGTGGTCTGCAGACCAGTGGTGGTCGTGAGGTCTGACAGGTTGGCGGCCGCTGCTTTTGAATGTTGCACGGCCCTAGAAACAATCCCTTCTGATGAAAGGGGTTTTGCTCCTGGTTACAGGAACACTATGGAAGGTTTGAAGTTGGTTCCATGGTGTAATGGTTAGCACTCTGGACTCTGGAAGGTTTGAAACTCTTATTATGCCGTGTAAAGTTGGTGTACACAGAAAAACCAGTCTACGGCAGCTGCTGCTCTCCGGACAGGCTCATGATGGAAATCAGAAGTAATTGGGGGGGAGGGGGGGGGGATTTGGAATGAATGTTCCCTGCAGACCAGTCTGATGCTCAGACCATTCACTGCCAACCCAAGGACAAAGCCTGTGCTGTGTCCGTGTACAGCATTACATCATTAAAGACTGATCTAGCCCTGACCAGTTTGGCTCAGTGGATGGCGTCGGACCAGGTTCGATTCTAGCCAAGGGCAAGTACCTTGGTTGCAGGCTGCCTCCTGGTTGGGGCTTGTGCAGGAGGCAACCAATCAATGTGTTTCTCTCATCGATGTTTCTGTCTTTCCTTCTCTTCCACTCTCTAAAAGGTCAATGGAAAACATTCTCAGGTGGGGATTAACTAAAAAACAAAGACTGATGCTTAACTCAAGTCTAGCCGAGCCTCAGAGCCTCGGAGAGAAGAGCCACGCTAGGAAAAGCTGGCCAAGTCCCACAGAGCCAACCTAGCACTGAAGATCCGAGCCTCCTACCCAAGGGCCAAGCCTCATCCCCAACACGGCCTAGCCCGAAAGGACAACCTTGCCCTAGGAGCCCAGCCTGTTCCCGAGGGCCTAGCCTAGTCACAAACAGCAGAGCCAATCCGGAAGGGCAGGCGCAGAGCCTGAGCCCAACCCGAACCCGAACCCGGGTTCTGAACTCCTGCGTGTTGTAGGTACTTTCGTCCCCATCGACAGGACCCACTCCATTCCAAGCACATTTTAATTCCACCTCACCCTCCCTTGAGAAATGGTGGAAGGAAGGAGGAGTGGAGAGCGAGTCACAAATCCGGCCTCCCGGCTCCTGGTCTCACCATAAGAGCCCAATTCAAACACTGGAAGTGGGGACCAGCCTCACTCCAGTTGGGTAAGTTACTGGGGCAGTCAGGGTTCCCCATACTCCCATCCCTTCATCTGCTCTTCAGTGTCACTGTCCAGCTCTGGAAGGTTCTCTCCAAGGCCATCTCCACTGTCAGTCTCTATCTGTACCCGTCTCTCAATTTCCCTGTGTGTGTCTCTTTCCTTCTCACTGTGTTTGTCTCTGTCCCTCTATCTGTCCCTGTCCCTGTTTCTGTGTGTCTACCTCTCTGTGTCTCTGCCTCCGTCTGTTTCTCTATCTCCCTCCCAGGGTTCTCTCTCCAGAGTTTGTGCCCACGTGTGCCTGGGTCTCTCTCCCAAGTCTGCCCACAGATGCTGGCTCAGTCCTGCACCCATCCTTGTCCTGTCCTGCCCTGGTTCTCCTGCCACCTCCTTGTCAGTGCCTCAGCCCGTTCACAGTGTGTCCCAGGCAGCAAGTTGTCCCACGGCCAGAACAGCCCAGCACTGAGACTCC